TTCTTTTTTCATTCATTCATATGGCAAGTCAATGTCATTGAAATTCAGATTGTTACAACTTAAACTAATTTTGTTATCTCTGTAAAATTTAAAAATCAAACTGGTTAAGTTTTTATTGGGTCTCCCATTATAAAAAAAGTGATAGTTGGGTCTCTGATCTTGATTGTTGGCTTCCTCGACGAGTAGCTGCTATTGGAGGAGTGGGTGAGATGATGCCAGAACCGACGCGGTAGCAATAGTTGAACCTTCCGACGAAGATTGGGTGGAGTTGGAGGTGGGTGATATAGGAAACGGAGGTTGCGGTGTTGGTGCGTGGAGATGGAGGGCTAGCGTTTAATGGTGGATTTTGAGAGGGCAGAAAAGAAAAATAATAAAAAATTATTAAATTTTGTCATACATTAAATTGTCAATATTGCACATAAACACTTTGAGAGTGATTCTGACTTAGTGTCGCTTTTTTTTATTTTAGGGATTAAATAGAAATTTAATCTCAAACTCAAACTAGGGATCAAAATGTATTTTACCGTAAAAATTACAATATTGACCCTTCAAAATTTTGGTTTCAAATCTTGACATCCTAATTAAGAAAAAAAAATATGGACCATTGTTACAATCTTATAGTCTAGGGTGGTCTCTGCATCTTGCATATCGAGGAGGGGGTGAATAATGAACTTGGAAACCTCGTGATTGTAACAACCTTTTGTTTTAATGTCTTATTTTTTTGTGTAATTTTTTCCATATATTTATTTAGAAGTTAATCAATGTTACATTTTTTTGATATTTTGATAGAAAACACATCCTTATTTCATCTATTTTTATTGTAGGAATAAGCAGAAAGTAATTCATAATTCTAAAGAAAAAACGCGAATCAACGTGAAAACCCTCAAACTAGAGAAAAAATGGCACACAAAAGAAAATCTATTATGTGAAAAATTATCAGAATCACACAGATTTCTCTCTCCAACTTCAATCACACAAAACACTTTTTCAAAGCAAATGTCGTTCAGTTAACTAGAGCTGATATATCAGACTTAAATATTTCAATTGCAATGAGTAAAACCCAAGGCCTTAGGCTCATTTTATAGTAGTTGGAACACACTCCCTCATATTTTTTCGATGTGTGACAAACTTCAATTTTAATATTTTGTCAAAACCCAACAAATTCTACATCGACAAGACATTTAACAATTCACTGTTACCACTGTACTCATTGTCTTCACGGACGATCATAATTCTTAGTTCAAAGAACTATAACCTACCCCACCATCAAAATAGACCACTTGCAATGTCGCATTTCAAGATTTTTCTTCCTCGCACATGTCGACAAATTCTACTAAAACTTATGGTGCAACTTTCACCTACTTGACTCGCCTTTCAAGTTTATTTATTTATTTATTATTAATATTATTTTTTTTGGTTCACCTAGAACTTCTTTAGCAGCCATCAATATAACTTCCACCACACACATCCTGCATAACCGCTAAGTCAATGTTTGTGTGTAAATTTATGAAACCACTAACATCACATCCTCTATCATGGTAAAGTGAACATACCATGATTATGAATTCTGTCTCTCTTCAAATGAAGAGATCATCATGTCCTCTAACAAGAGAAACACTATCAACATCTAACCTAGAGCCCTTGGACTAGGACAATCTTTTTTCATGTACCCAGATTAGACATGAAGTCCTTTGACGAATGGATTCTACTAGGACAATCTTTCTTCATCTACTATTTGCATCTCCAACAAACAAACTTTCTTTTGCACGAGGTCTTTCTTCTTATTCCAATTGCTAGCTACCAATATTGAATCTTCATGTGAAGTACGCCTTCACTCTTCAACCCTCTCTCGTCTGACAATAGTTTACTATTAGCCTCGAAAAAAATTCAAAATATCATTCTCATACATTAAAATTGGTTTTATGTGGTGGAAGTGAAAAGATGAGACTGAGTGTCTTCTCTTCTCGATCTATTTTCACTTTGATCGCCTTAAGCTCAAAGATGATGTTATTGAGAATATTAATATGATCTAAAATTTTCATATCTTCCTCAATTCGCAGTGTGTGAAATTGCTCCTTCAGGTACAACCGATTTGAGATGTCTTTTACTTGATACAACACTTCGAGCTTCTCCCAAAGTTCTTTGGTTGTTGAAATTTCGTGCACATTCACAAGAATATTCTTAGCCAAACTTGTTTGTATCGCACTTGTAGCCCTCAAATCCATTTCCTCTCGATTCTCATCACTCATGTTGGACTTTCTTAGAACTTCTGCTGGAACCACAACTAGACTCCACTGAACCACCACCTTCCTTTCAACGTTTTGTAACACTGAACCACCACCATCCCTTCAACGCCTTGTAACCTAGATTGTATTAGCACATGATTGACAATTCCGTCAAATTTCTCGTCAATGTTCATTAAATTTATAAAGAATGGAGTCACACCCATTTAATGATTCTTGGTGCCGATAATGTTTTAATGTTATAAATATTATATTATTTATAATACTTAAAAATGTCACTTATTCCTTCTTAGAAAATTCATTTATTGCTTGTCTTTAATACATTTGCGAGATGTTTTAAAACTTATTAGGGACCATATAAAGAGAAAAGAAAGAAAAAACAGTAGAATATTAAGTTCATAGAGACATCTGTTTTCACATTTTGTTTCAAATAAGATACCGCTCCTCTTCTCTTTTCTATCTCTTCTCTCATGGAGTGATCTCTTCTCTGAATCTGGGGGTGGAAAGGATGATAGATCTAAAATCTCCTTAAGTTTCTTATTCTGTTTGTGATTCTTAATTTATCTCTTGGTTAGAATCACATTCTGGTTTCTCTCTTGGTCGAAGTCTTTTTCATAATTGAAGGCATATTATTTTCTCTGAGATCATAATAAAGGAGTGGTTAACCTTCATGATTAAAGATAATCTGTCCTAAGATATGAAAAGGACTAGACTTTAGATCGATAGTTATATCTTCCTAATACTCCTAGATTCTTCCTTCTCTCTCATGATTTCTAAACTTCTTTCTAAAATCTCTCTCCCATTCTCAGAAGATTATCGATACATCTTCATCATCCTCTCCTACTTCTTCAATCAATCAAAGATCTAACGATGATCTTTCAAAAGCATTAGCCGACCATAATTCAGCCGAAGCTCATCTAGCCAAGGTTGAAAATCGTCTAAAAAATTGGTCTATCCTTAAGATAGATCCAAATCAAGTATACAAAATAAATACCTTCAACTTCTCCCAACAAGATGTCATTGTCATCATCGAGGAGAACGTTGCAATGAAGGATGAATTCACTGAAATCACCCTTCTCCCTGAAGAGACCCTCTTCAAAGTCAAAAACAAGTTCAAATACCTCCATATTGGATGCGTACAAGTTGCCTTAAAACTCCCCTTTAGAGAAGGGCTAGATGTACCAATTTATCTCGCCTTAAGAGATAAGAGGCATCTTAGATTTACCCCCTCTCTTTTAGAGATTGTCGAATCTAACCTGAAGCAAAGCCCAGTCTACTTCAATTGCAGACCAAGCCTCACCGTCTCTCTCCAAGATAAGAACATCATGGACGTCCTAAGTCTTGATGTTCATTCTCAAGGCCTCGAATTGAAGGACGGATCCCTTCCGTTTGCCGTATCTTATCGCATCTATTACAAATTGATGCATACAAACCTTTCTCCAAAAGCTTTAGGCGTTTCTCCAAAAGGTCACACCATGCTGATGGAAGTCAATGTTGAAAAGTCTTCAATAACAATTCCAAGAACACTTCGATGGGAAGAAATCACACGAAATCCCATATGAAGATTACAATGAATGACTGCCCTTGCTAGAAGAACCAGCACAGAGGCATCAATCACTGAATTTCCAGATGGAAATGTCAAAATACAATTTAATTCTGAGGTTAGATATGACAGGATTAGAGAAGTCGTGAGTAGCTGCCCCAGCACATCTTCTGACACCAGGACAGTTAACTCCTTTAATGGATCTTTCAAAAGATCTGAATCAATGCGAGCGTTAGTGGACTTCACTCATCCAGTCCCTAACATTCATTATGAAGAAGAATCACTCTCTCCGAGCCAGTCCGATATGGAAAGGAGAACTGAACCTACTTTCAATCAAATAAATGTTATTTCAGAAGATGACAATGAAAAACGTTATATAGATATGTATAGCAAATACATCGACATGTAGATTGCTGCACCAAAAGAGACAAGAAAACCTTTTCTCTATCAAAGAGACTTCATCTCAAAAATGAAGCAAAAGGAACGTGCTAGAAACGAAGCTCTCGTCAAAGCACTCGAAGCCCAAGGACAAGTGGTTGTTATTAGAAACGCTACTGTTTGGACCACTTCAAGAGGCAGAGAAATAGCTTCTACCTTTTCTCTCGAGGAAGAAGCTCATTTTCCTCATCCAGTCGTACCAGCCAATAAGATGGTGTCTTCCCCCTATAAGACTATAGACGAAAACAAAGTCCAGAAGGT